GACCTTGAACGTGGTAGTTACCTTGCTGTCTATGTGAGGGTCAGATAGCCCTTATATTTATCAAAACTATCTTAAATTGTGTTCCGAAGATGAATGAAGGTCTTACGGGTTTGGAACAACACGAGGGTGAGTCATTAATAACAGAATTTTCATTTTTGGGTGAACTAACCCTTTAAGTGCTTGTGTAAAAACAACTGTTTCGCAGTTATACACAGTGAGAGTGTGTTTGCATGTTTTTTGAGGGGATGCAGAGTGGATTGGCTGCTGTCTGTATTCGTTTTATCATATTTGGAGAGACACTAACTGGCTCTGACAGGGGCACATACGAGGGGTCCGTAAGGTCACGTATTTGGAAAAGCACTATGGAAAAATTATTCACCATCATTTTGACAATTCTCTATCAACTTTGACAGCACATTTCTTGCATCCTATTTTTGTCTTTCTTTTGAGTTATTTCCTTCTTTTTTCTTGCCTCAGGTCATAAAAACATCTCAGGAAAACACTAGAAAAGTCAAAATACAAGATTATGTCCCATTTTTATTAGTGCCATATGAATGTACTCCTTTAGCCCCCCTGGTATTTTTCATTTGATGTAACTTTCTAATTTATCCCTGAGTAAATAGCAGTCGTAATGCGAATGGAATGAAGAGTATGCATGAGGCGCGTGCCAATGAGAGGAAAGTGTCCCTTCATGCAGCAAATTATCTTCCCAGCACGGAAGCATCTGTGCTCAGCCGAGACGAGAGAAAAACAAGGCTTACCTCTCCTCTCCTGCTCCCTAAAAAAAGCCCAGCAATCAATAGAAAGTTCATTTCAGAAAGGCAGTCTGGTAATCTGTTTGGCTGCATGCGCACCTGTCCCTAATGATCTTTCCAGCACAACAGGACGACCTAATCTTCATTCAAATGAATCGCAGCACAACATGGACAATACTTTATCACTCTCTCTCTTACGCACACAAAGCAATGGAGACGTGAAGGCCAGAGGAAGACTGATCTGAGTTCAGTGAGTTAAAGGCAGTTTAAGAACATGATTTTTTTTAGAGTTAGAAAATGGGAACTATTTTTTAAAAAAGGCCTATGCTGTTTATCAGTGCTTAAACTGGTTGTCGCAGGGTTTTATATCTTGCAGTTTAAATGAACAGGTAGAAATTGGTAAAAATTAATTCTATTTTAAGTATTACACAAAATTATTTTTTTTAGCTTATTTTTATAGAACCATACCATAAAATCATTACAAAAAGGTTATTTTAAACACATCAAATGCTTGTGTGAGACACAAAAATACTACGGTTACAGTTTGGGGTCATTTAGATTTTTTCTAAATAAAAAAAAAACATACTATGCAGCAAAGGCATATTAAACTGATCATAAGTAATAGTAAAGCTATTCATAATTTTACAATTTTCAAAAACTTTTTTTTTTACTTTCTATTGATCAAATATTCCTGAAAAAAACGTTT